GGATAGTTGCGTACCATGGAGGGCGGGTGGGGTGTGGGGGGTGTTGGGGCGCTTGTGAGAAAATCCGTTCAGAGCAGTTTTCCTGGCATTGCGGCATTGCCATCGAGATACACGCACTGGAGAAAGATTCCGGCCCCGCAGTTTCCGAATACAGCCGTCGAGTTTCCGAATATGAGTTTCCGAATACAACCGTGGAGTTTCCGAATACAACCGTCTCAGTTTCCGAATACCAGTTTCCGAATACAACCGTGTAGTTTCCGAATACTAGTTTCCAAATACAACCGTACAGTTTCCGAATACCACCCTTCCAGTTTCCGAATACAACCGCTTCAGTTTCCGAATACCAGTTTCCGAATACAACCGCGCAGTTTCCGAATCCCAGTTTCCGAATACAACCGTTCCAGTTTCCGAATACAACCGTTCCAGTTTCCGAATACAACCGCCGAGTTTCCGAATACAACCGTGGAGTTTCCGAATACAACCGTGACCTTTACTATAGAAGCCAACTGGTCGCCCTTACTTGATGAAGTAGGCGCCCCTACTTGATTAAGTAAGGGTGTGTTACATTTCACGAAAGGTTGCTAGGCAACCTTGAGTTTGATAAGCTTTAGCTTAGGAGCAGACTTCTCCTGCTGCAGCTGCTGCCGACCAACCTTTCGTCCACCCCCCTTTTCTCAAGTAAGTACAAAACGAAACTCCTGCGAAGCTCAGGTGCTTTTCTACTAGGAACAAGTGCATCGCTACTAGTAACAAGTGCCTTACTAGTAGTAACAAGAAGCTAGTAATTAGGAATTAAATAGAATTAACAGTAAATATTTTTCTTATTAAACGTACAGTAGCTTATTGTTTATATTTAATTCGTGTTTCTAATAGCTTCTTGTTAATACTAGTAAGGCACTTGTTACTAGAAGCGATGCACTTGTTCCTAGTAGCGATGCCCTTTGTTCCTAAAGCTCAGGTGCTTTTGGCTATTAGAAACAATAAGCCACTAGTAACAAGTGCATCGCTAGTAGGAACAAGTGCCTGACTAGTAGAAACAAGCGAAGCTCAGGTGCTTTTGGAGCCTTTTCGGACTTTGATCCATTTTTCGCCGACTCGCGGGTCGAAGCGGACGAGATCGGCCCAAACGAGCGCCGCGAGGCAATGGAGTGATTATGTTTGTTATCAAGCGACGTTTTCTTAGTTCTTTAACTAGTTTTCTTAGTGCATTACTAGTAGTAACAAGTGCCTTACTAGTAGTAACAAGAAGCTACTAGGAACAAGTGCATCGCTTCTAGTAACAAGAGCATTACTAATTAGTAGCTACAGGCTAGCTAGGACGTTTCCTTTCTTTAGACGTTTGATCTTTCTTCTTCTTTCGATGGCCTCCAACCCAATAGCGATGGCCATGGCCTCCAACCTAATAGAGATGTATTCAGCATAGTTAGTTTCAAGAACTTTCTTGTTCTTTATCCAGTCTTTTTCTAGTAGCTTCTTGTTTCTAGTAGCGATGCCCTTTGCTCCTAGTAGCTTCTTGTTCCTAGTAGTAAGGCCAGGAGCTCCTAGTAGCATCCCTGCTCCTAGTAGCTTCTTGAGACCCTTTCTTTGGAAAGAGCGTGAGGCAATGGACTCGTCTCAGCTTTGTCGTGTTCTCGCCGCCTGTGGAGCTGCTGGGTTCGACCTCGCCTCTTTCGCATTCGTTCCACAGAAGTCTTGGTGACCTTGACAGAAGTCTTAAGCTACTAGTAACAAGCGCATTACTACTGTAGTAGCTAGAAAGCTACTAGTAGCCTCTTGCTACTACTAGCGATGCACCTGTTACTAGTAGCTTCTTGTTACTAATTCCTTTTGTCATCAGAATAGTTAGCAAGATTTAGGATCTTTAAAGTGCCTTCTGGCTGTTGCGTGCTTGCTGGAAATATCCTTTCACTTCTGCTTGTGAGCATCAACGTGAAGGATTGTGAATGTGGTTTTGTTTCGCACGTGGTGATTAAAGTGACATAGGTCTGAAGAAGGCTGTCTAGCAGAACTTTGAAAGAGCGTCCTTGTTGCCCTACTGTAACCTCGTCGACTGCTCTGCAATGGTTCACATACAGAATGCGTTTGTACCATTTGCGAAAGTTATTGGCGAAAGCCGGTGTTGCATTAGTTTCAGACGCGGAGACATACATTTCACATGTTCATCCTTGAAAAGAACTTCTGAGGCAAGCCGCCTTGTTGTTTCCTGCCGCTGCCTCCAGCAGACAGCGGGAGATCACAACCATTTGGAATGAGTCGATGCTTGAGATGGTCTTGGATGGTCTCACAACTGAAAATGCTTCGGAGCTCTCTTTGGCAGCTCTCTTGTTCCGAATGAAGCATGAAGACCATGGAGGCAGCGACGGCAGCGGGAGCAGCTGGGGTAATGTTGTGCGTGCAGTGAGTGCAGTGCTCTTAGAGGCGCTCAGCAGAGCAGAGGAATCACCTGAAGTGATCGTGACTTTACAATACCTTCGATTTGAAGGTCTGCAGAGTCTTCCACTTTCCACCTTAAGGCACCTTCACAGTTTTAAGGTCGAAAGCACAGATTCTGAGAGAAAAGACCGCGGATCGTGTTGCATAGAACATGGTAGGGAGGGTTTCGATGTGTTTTGGAGAAGTTGTTGAAGAAGAGTTTAAAGCACTTCATAAGCTGTCGAAGTTGCCATTGCAACAGCAAGCTCCAAACTGTTGTTGTTGCATCGCCTTGAATTGCGGCTCAAGAAACCTGAGTTGTGCAAACCTGAGCTGGCCAATGCGCAGCCCACACTACCACATGGAGTTCAGTAGGACCGAGCTTTGTGTGTCCTGCGATGGCCTCCAAGCTAAGAGCAGTTGGCCTCCAACCCGATGGCCTCCAACCTAAAGCGATGGCCTCCATGGTTCAACCTGTTGCATCTACATGCACCTGCAGGTAGGATGAAAGGAGGCGATGCAAAAGAAGAGAATGGTGTGAAGCGGCTAATCCGCATTTGTTGGAGCCCCAGAGCTAGTAGGTTGGAGGCCATTGCTAGTAGGTATACCCCTGGTTAGAACCCCAGAGAAGCTCGTGCCGCCTTTCAGAGCCTTTCGTCGAGTATTTTCGTCGAGTGTGAGGCCTGAGATTGGGCGTGCGTGTGAACAAAGCTTTCCTTCTGCTGACAAAATGTTTGCAGATTCTGCTGCTTCCACAGCTAAGCGCTTACCAGTAGCTTGCTTGCAATGGCCCAACTGCTGCCATTTGTTCCTTTTGTTTTGTTCGGTTGGATTTGTCATTTCATGCAAAGCGTGAAGCCAATGTGATGGCTCATGCGAAACTTTTGTGAAGCCTTTCAGCCAGGTATCGCGTTTATTTGATCTACATTCTCCAGGCACTCTGAAGCACGTCCTTCCTTCAGAATGATATTCCCTACGGGCATGTACGTAGCAGTACCTGCAGTAGCTCTCAGGCCTCAGGTCATTTAAAGACTGCCATTCCTTAGCCATACCAACAAGAGCTTGTTGTGACACAAGAATCCTTGACAGACTACCTCTTTGTTCTTTTTTGGTGAAGAGAGAAATCTCATCATTATGACTTCATTCTTGTTTGCAGATGACGCGTGTTTCTTTCAGACCCTTTCGTTGGCCTCCCAGCTTTCCAATCGTGGCAGGTCCTTGGAAGTGAAAGCTTTCAGCTTCTCTTGGCAAAAAGTTTCTTGGATTTTTTCAGGAGGCCATCGCTAGGTTGGAGGCCATCACTATATTAGGCTGGAGGCCATCGCTATATTAGGCTGGAGGCCATCGCTACCAGGTTGGAGGCTATCGCT